CATTGGGGTGGTTTGGGGGGTCAACGGGGCGGCATATATATATATATGTATATTCCAGTCCTATGGAGTGTACAGGATTGTGAATCCATAAACAGAGCTCTTGCGATCCCATCATCCAAAACAGTGAACATTCAACAAGTGATTTCGACCTTTGTCACGGTTGAACAAAACATATAATCACTAATCATATACTGATCACAAGCCTGAGGTCGTGCATTGTAAATAAGGAGAAGGTCCCAAGCTGCTGGACATGTTGATATTTTTTGACCCACGCCCACGCCCACAAGCGGCAAGTTCTGGGAAATGCTGGGGCCGCATGAGATCCTTTTGGTGAGCTAGAAGCAGAATGCTTGTATACCTCAATTTCACGTATCGTGAGTGATTTGGAGTCGACATCTCACAGTGACAAGTGTGACAGTCAAAGTTATTCTTGTAGTTACAGTGGTTTCAGAGTAGATGGCACAGACCTCAAGATGTCCTTCAGACCTAGGGGTTCATAGGAGAACCACCTTTACTTGGGGTCTGTGCCATTGGTCCTCTCAATCCACTATATGCTGCGTGGACCAGAGCTGTCGCCAGGAGCTTTGCGTGGACCTCACAGACTATCCCAACGTGGCCCAGATCGAGGTCACCCAGTTGCAGCACCTGGTGGACGAAGCCGCTGACTTCGTGGCACGGCAAACGGCGGCCTTTCTGCAGCGGCTCTTGATCCAGCGGCTCTGCACAGGGAGGAGTCGGAACATGTTGGGTGTGTCAAACATGTGTGGGAACAAATCGGTGCAAGATGGCGCATGCAAGCGCGGTTGCAGAACAGTTTTGCTAACAATCATTGTTTGCCAAGATCAATAGTTTCTTGTTCTGTGTATTGAAGGCTCATTGAAGTACGGTTTGTCGCAATGCTCCTTAGCTTGGACTTTAGACTAGCCCATCCTCACATGTCCTAAGCCCTAAAATATTGAGAGAGAAAGGGTACGGAATAAACTTGACCATGATACTTCACCACCAAATGTTTGTATGGTTACAGTAACTTAGCCATACATTTACCAACTTGACCGGTTAGCCATAGGTATTAGGTTGGAGGCCATCGCTCTTAGGATTACTTAGCCGTACATTTACTAACTTAACTACCTTTCACCAAACCGGTCACCAAAGCAAACCCAACATGGAGGAGGCCGTTCGCGGACCTAGCCGCCAATCTCTTCCGATTTCGCTTCAGACTCGGCCATTAGAGGTGTGTACAAGCTAGAACATGTAAAGAATCACGAGTTATTGTATTTGTTATAGTTGTTGTTCATTTGTCTGATATATATATATATATCATTATATATCTATTCCTGATCTATCCCTGATATTCCTTAATATGCATTTTGGTCTAGGACCTAGTACCTCTATGAAGATCCAAAGATGAAATGAAGCGTTTCCTTGTGTTGCCTCAGGGTTTTCTCAGCGGTGGTCAACTGTCAGCCTTGGTGATCGACGCACCCCTTGCCTTTCAGCGGGTATGCAGAAGATGAACATTATGTACATCTAATACGCGTTAAATGTACACAGAGTTTGGAACATACATGGTGATTTGCTGCACTAGACATGTTTGCCCTTCACCTGAGTTGGATACTCAATCTAATCACTTCTCAGACCGTTTACCACCATTGTCCCATACTACATGGAGATCGAAGTGTTCGCTGTATTTTCCTATTTCTCCAGGTACAGTGGCATTCCTGACTTGGCAACCAGCTTCAAGCGTGCCAGTCGTGACAGCCATGGTCTTTTGCACTTAGTGGATTTGGGTCCAACGCCCAAAAAGGACGGCATTCGTCGGTGGGTTGATGGGTTGAAGACGGCCTATCAAAGGATCGAAGTCTACATGTCTTAAAGAAAACGTCTCTCTCTATATACATATACATATATATAAATAAGCTACTAGTAACAAGTGCCACGCTAGTAGTAACAAGTGCCTTACTACTAGCAACAATAAGCATTAGTAACAATAAGCTACTAGGAACAAGTGCCACGCTAGTAGTAACAGGTGCCTTACTAGTAGGAACAAGGAAGCTACTAGGAACAGGTGCCTTACTAGTAGTAACAATAAGCTA